GAGCCGGTTTGCAGAAGGCATAGAGACAGAGGAGCTGGCCCATCATTTTTCACTGAAGAATTAAAACCACCTCTGCAAACAGGGGCCAGTGTGTGTGTGTGTGTGCTTAAGGCCACATGGTGGAAGTTTCACAGCATCTGGGGTTACTGCGTAAATAAACAGTGTGGGGGTCTCCATTACACACACACACACACTCACACACAGAAGTGTCCTGGTTTCCTTTTGTTTTCTCTAATAGCACTTTCTATTGAAGGGAATAAAGGGTTGTCCATAAGAGATTAAGAAGCCAGCCCCCCCCCCCACACATACTCTCCTTCTCTCTCTTTCTTTCTGTCTGTCACACTCACACACACAATAAAGCAGCCTGTAAACTTTGAGCTGTAATCATATGAATGTCTTTTCATTCAGTAAATCTTACCTAATATGGATAAATATCTGTACCGGACTCTTTTTGATATAAGCAGTAACCAGTAGTATAACTATGATCTTATGGGCCTCAGCGCTCCTCTCACTACCAGTGTTAACCCTAATGTTTATGTTAAACTACTATGTAAGATTTTAAAACTACAAACAATGAATATATCATGCTGCAGATTAAGGATCTGATCAAAAACAGTTACCATGGATGAGATGAATTATGAATACGAGATAAATAGGCATCAGGGCTGTATGTGTTGATGGTGAGGTATGTTGTTAGGAAATTAGATCTAGTTAGTATTTATATGCTAAAGATTTTAGGGGACTGGACATCACGGGCCCTCCAGTGCATTTGCACAACTGCCCCCTAGTAATGGTAGTAGTAGTAGTAGTTATGCCACTGGCAGCAACACTTCTCTTTAAGACCTGAAAGATTTGATGTAAAATCTGCCTTGCTTCTAACAACTGAAAGAAATTCTTTCTTTGGTAACACTTTATTTGGGTAGTCCACTTGTAGATATTTAATTTACTTTCAGGTTACATTCAACTAAATATCTACTAAATTGACCATAATTGACCAAATAACCAAACTCTAAACCTGATTCTAATCCTAACCTAACCTTAACATCAACCCTCAAACCTGAGCCCAACCCTCTCCCTTGTCCTAGCCCAAACCCTGGCCCAAATCCTAATCCTAACCCCACATTTGAACATCTGTAGATAGACTATAGGTGACTATAGTGGACTATCCAAATAAAGTGAGACCTTTTCATTTTCCTTAATTCCTTAACACTTTCTCATGTCCATGTTGGATTATGTCCAAACTGGATTTAGAAATGCAGATTAGATGCAATAACCAGTCCTGTTTGCTTTTTTATACAGTGTGTTATTTTAGATTTTCAGTTTGAGTAATGATTCTCCACAAAGCTTAGCTTGACTAAACTTATTGACACTTAAAGGAAAAACTTTCCAAAAATTGACTGCACATGTATCAAACATATGTTTCTTAAATATCATATGGCACCTCCCAGGTTCCATGGGGCATAGAACAAACATTGCTGCAATGTTCAGTGAATCCAGCACCACAATATATAAGCACAATTTTTTTCTTATGGTAGACCTGAAAAAGTACCAAATGCAAATAATCTTATAGCTCATCTGGGACTATTTCATCCCTGTGTGCTCGTGTGAATGTAAGTAGTGATGTGTGTATGAACATCATTATTGCAGTCAAACATGTGGCTGAAGCTAGCATGACTAGAATGCTACACTCTTAAAAAAGATGGTTCTTCAAGGGTTCTTTAGTAAAGAAAAAGGTTCTATATAGCACTGAAAATGTTTCTTCTGTTGTTGCAATGTCAAGAACCTATTTTGGCTCTATATAGAACCATATATAACACATTCTCTATCAATCTGAAGAAAGAAGAAAGGGTTCTTTGCTTGCTCATGGTTCTATATAGAACCATTTTCTGCACTAAAGAACCCTTGAAGAACAATCTTTTTTGACTGTGTAGCTGTTGAACTAATAGGTAAATAATGATTTTATACTATAATTTATCAGTGAATCAGTTAAAAACCTCATTTGTAACTGACACAATAACCAGAGGATGTGATGTCACTGGACTGTGTCTATGCTTGTGGTTATACAAGACTATGAATCTGGCACTGGATGCAGTTGTATGCCCCAACAAAGTATTTAGGAGGTAAATGCATGATAGCTTCATTTAGAAGCATACATTTCACAAAAAAGCATCAAAATTATTAAAAAAAACTATGAATGTTGGATGTTCCTTTAAGTTCCACAGTTACATTTTAGCAACTTTGCATTTTGACCACCAAATCACCAAGATCTTTAGGATGTAACACTTGGTAACTCATGATGACCGCATGTTAGATTGTGCTTGCACCACCACCCCCTCCTCCACCTCAGGTCTCAACTCTGCCTCTTACTTCTGTCTCTCTGGGCCAGTCCAAAGTTTACGATTAATCAGCTAGTGGGCTTACCTTCTCCCCACTTGCTTAGACAAGTGACCCCACAGTCCCTGAGCACATAAACATTTAAAAGGTATCTGATCAAACAGAGCTGTCTGCAAATGTTCTAAAATTAAACAAAACTTGATTTTTTTTTTTTTTTTGGGACCACTCAATGAACTGGCCAAGAACGGTCAAACTGACTCGACTCCTCATTTTTAAAACTCGTGTGTTTTAAAGAAGTGTAGGCAGCTGTGTAGGTGGCAAAAAAACAACAATATTGTTTGCCTTGACTGCAGCAATCAGCAGGAAGAAAGCAGACTAATATTAATATTCACAGCAATAAACAAGCCATGAAGAGGGGCCACTGTCTTCCCATCAATTGCTCAATCATAAATAGCTAGTTATAACTATACATCTCATCCAATAGTGATGAATTCCTTTTACACTCGCTAGCTATTATTGGCAAGACGCATTTACAGCTAGCTGTGATTAGCTAGCAGAGCAGGTAGCAGCTAAGCATGGCAATCTGGCTAAACTAGGCCTGCCTGGGCTTGTTTTTGTGGGTATATAATGATCCTCTCAGTCAAGTTATTCTTCACTTTTCCTATATTTCATCACCACTAGCTTTACGCACTTCACCATGATGATACCATAAGTGTCTTTAATAAGTCAGTTGTAGATTATGGTGTTCAAATTTCTTCTCTGTTGCGTATTGTTGGCATCTAAGTGTCGGGTATTGCGTATCTTTGTATAGGCATCAACACTGTTCTATGTGCGTCTCCTGGCAGTACCTTAGCTTAAAGGTGTCTTTAGGCTGTAGCCTAATTTCAATGGCTGTATATGTCCTTTCTGAGTGACCAACAAAGCATGTTTGTTAGCCGTTCTGGATAAAAGTATCTGCTAAATGAAAACACATAAATGAATGGTTCACAGAAAAATCACATGGGCACAATTTTTGCCACCTACTCCAAACATGGTTGATCAGCCAACACATGTTTGGTGTCTAAAGTTCTGAGTTCTTTAGTTTTGCAATGGAGCTATCAGGCTAACATTGCTAGCAAGTAATGAAGGACTATTCCACCCAAAAGATACTGTAGACTATAAATATTAGCCTTGTAATTACAGTGCAAATAATAATAATAATAATAATAATAATAATAATAAATACTAGGCCCGGTAACACAGGTAAGGGGAAAAAATGTGTAAATTTGATATTTTGGTGAACCATTCCTTTAAGTATCTCTGATATGACCTAGTTAGTCCCCTTAATGCACTGATATTGTGTCAGTATCATGCACAATTTCTCCCCAGTACTAAAAGGCTGCGTCTGAGAGTCAGTCAGTAAAACCGAAATTCGAATATTAGTAGCCTAAATTGGCCATTTTTAGGCAATAACAATATCATTTAATAGCCAATAAAAAACAGCACAGTGAATTATTATGCATATCAAATTACATTGGCTTTCTGCGACATTTTGCTCGGATAAGTTAAAACAAATAAAGACAGTTGGCTGCAACGAGCCCGTGTTTGAGCGGAATAAATGCTTTGTTTAGCGGTAATACAAATGCAGACGTAGAGAAAAAAATCAAACTGATATTTAGCCCCTACTAGCTTTTCCCTCTTTTGTTTTACGCAAGGCTCTTTTTACCACATGGTAGTGACAGATTGTTTGAGCTGGAAGGAAAAGCCATTCGAAGCTAATTAAGCAGCCATTCCAAGCACTATTCGCGGGCAGGAGGCTGAGAGGCGCAGGCATTTGTCAGCGCTCTGCCCCTCGTGGGCTTGATTGACAACACGGCTTTCGGCCTGACAGGCTCTGCCGCTCTCAGCCAATGAGAGGCGCCCATGGAAATGAGCGGCGTCTTGATTGGCTAAGGCACCCTGACGAGGGAGACGAGCCCCACGTGGGCCCGAGCCTCAGCAGCGCCTTGTGATTGGTCTGTTTTTTTTTCTCGGGCGTAGACATCATGTTGGGCTCTGGTTGTCGTTGAGCTGACAGCATGAATCAAGTAATGGGGGTTGATTTCACAGATTTATTTCTGTTCATTTAGGCTATACGGCGTGAACAGTCGCAGAACTATTTATTATATTTATCTATTTTCTGTACACCGAGCTAGCAAAGCCACCTCGGCGTGTTTCTGAAATGAACCACTATGTACTATGTTGACCTCCATGTGGTGTGGCATCTCTTTAGGCTGCTCAGGAGCGACTGACATGGCTGCAGTTTCCACAGATTACAAAACGAGCCCATATTCGTAGTGTAATCCCGAGCAGCCTCGCTTCCTTTCTCGTGATTTGTCCCTCTATTCAGCTGGTCGAGCGTTTCAGCTGTTAATTTCGCCATCTGAATTAATTTCATCAGACACCAACACGTTTCGGAGATTTCAGCTGGTGGTTAGACTTCGAACAATCGTCGCTCATGTAAAGCTGTTTGTCTGGAGGGGGAGAAAAAACATGTTTAGATCCAAAATGGCGAACATGAGGTCAGATATTTATAGTCCAATCAGTGTGCGAGGCAGCGGCGCGCCCCACGTGGGGCTCCTTGTCTGATTGGCCGATCTAGATAAACTCCTTCCGCAGATCTGATTGGCCGGCTCGGGTCGCTCTCTCGCGGCAGTTGAATCCTCGTGTCAGTGGGCAGTCTGTGTGTGGTACAGCGAGCGGTGGAGTAACTGGGCGAAAGCTATCGGAGGAGCTTGGCACGTCCGAGCGTTAACTTTTTTTTTCCTTTTTTAAAAACATTTTTCAAAACACAATTTTATGCTTCTGGAGAGTCACCTATCGCTCTCATCCGACGACTGGACTTCACTGCGAGTCCGAGCAGCTCACAATCGACAATTGACCGCCGTTCAAGTTGGAAAGGCGAGGCTTTTCAGGCTTTTCGTGCCGCTGGTCTTCGAGAAAAAAAGACCTCGGGGGGGAAAAAACCTGAGGGGGGGTTGCACGTAGCCCCGGCCAGCCACTCTCGTTTCTAACCAAGCACGGAACAGAGCAGACTTCTCCTCGTAAGGTCACACGAGTGGACGACTTTGACGATTCCTCCGCTCTCTGGGAACTATCGCAGCTAATAGCCTGCATCCGAGGGGGATTTTGTTGTGGAGAGAAGACAAAAGGTATTAGTTAACAGCGTGGATACCTTTCTAAAAGAATGTGCTCGTTATCTAGACGGCAAGGCTGAGCTATCGAGCACGCACAGCGTCCTTCCAGGCTGCCCCTTTCTCCTCTGTGTGTTTGTGTGTGTGTTTTTTCCCCCACTTTTTGACCTACTAGCTGTTACAGCAGTCGATGCATTGTGTAGTGTAGTCTACGTCTGGAGGCTGATTTAAGCAGGCTCGCTTCTGAACGTCGCTTTTCTCTAAGATATTTTTTATGGTTTATTTATATTTTTGATAGTGATATTACTGAGCATTCGCCCCATTGTGTGACTGTAAGTGCACGCGCACATCGCAGAGCGTGAGAATCTTTTGGGATTAAAGTAAACACGAGCCGCCCAAAGCAGGAAATCTTGTTATTGCGAGAAGGCGAAGGGAAACCCAAGCAGCAGCAGCGCGCGAGTGAGTGAAAGCCACGACCAGAACAGAAAGGGCTCGAGCCGAACCGAGCTTTTGCCAGTATTTCCATTATAACTTTTTGTTTTTCGTTTTATTTTCACCGCACGGATAGCTTAATCTCACGTGAAATAGGCTATGGTGGTGAGTCGAGCCAATAGTCTTTCTTGTTTTGTGTGTGTGGATGCGTGTGCGCGCGCGCGTGTGTTCTGTTCGCCTGTTTGATTGTGTTCGTAAAGGACTCGAGGAGCTTGAAATCGAGGAGAAAGGACTGAAAGAGAAAGGGAAGCTGCTCCAGGTGGAAGGAAACGGTGATATCGAAGTTCCCCGAGTGCTGATCTTCTGTTTTTTTTTTTTGTTTCTTCCTTGGCGGAGTGCAGGGAGGGGTGGTGGGACTTTACCGCTTCACCTGCTCGGATTTATCCTCCTGCAGAAAGCCACATCTGCGTGGATCCGCGCGGGCAGGATGTATCCACAGGGCCGGCATCCGGTGAGTAAACCCACCCTAAACATCAACTCAGTATCAACTCAGTGTAAAATCAAAGGTTGCGTCCAGAACCGCACACTGTCATGCAAAATGGTATGTCAAAGCAAGATACCACCTTTAGTGCAGCATTCGTTAGTGTAGAGTATTATTGTATAGTGTAGCATATGACAGTATAGTATACTGTAGTATAGATTACTAGGGTGTAATATAGTATGCTGTACTGTAGGGTAGTGTACTATAGTGTTGTATATGATAGTATATTGTAGTATAGTATACTGTACTGTAGTGTGCTGTAATATACTGTAGTGTACTATAGTACCCTGTAGTGTACTGTACTGTAATATAGTACAGTTTCGTCTATGATAATACAGTGTAGTATAGTGTAGGGCTGAAAGACTGAGGAGAAAATAACTAATTGCGTTTTTTCTGGCAAATATTGTTATATAAATTGCGAATATTGTGTATATATTGAGGTCCTTCTTTTATCTATCTGTTTTTCTGGCTTGGAGCTTGAACGTGGTGTGCCAGACTGCCAGTTGTGGTTGTGGTTGTGATGTCACACAAAAGGGGTGTTTGGTTGCTTTTGATCGCTTTAACTCCTCTATAGGCAGTTCCAGGTTCCCTGTTATTGGGTTCAGTTTCACCACTTAAGACAATGTTGCAGCTCTAATTTTAAAATTGCTCTCCTTTCTGAAACTGCAATTTCCATTTAACAGCGGCGAATCTTTCAGCCTTAGTAGTGTAATATGTGATTTTGGACGCAGCCAAGATAAAATTAGTTATTGCTAATTGCCTCTGTTCTTATATACCTCACAACCCCCGCCCCCACTACGCCTCGCGCTCTCACTTAATTACGCTGTCGACCATTAGAGCGCGTGATAGCCGAAGACGTGCAGAGAGCGCTGTTTTTCTAACGGCCACGATAAACAATAAAAACAGCGTCGACAAAATTAGCCTCGTTACACAGAATTGGGTTTTACGGCGGCTGAGAGGACGTCGGTTGTGATTTTGTGTGGTAAAATGACTACAAATATATGACAACAAACCAGTATAAACCACCCCAAACGACACAATAGAGGATACCGCGTCCTGCTCGCCTGAATGTGGGCTGTTGAGGGTCTGAGGTAAGAGAGAGAAAGTGCGGAAAGAAAAAAGAGACGGGAGGGAGGGGAGGAGGAAAAAAAAATCAGGTTACATTTTTTTTTTCTCTGAGGCCGTTCAGACGCAATGACCCATCCGCGTCTCGGAGAAGAAGGCTGCTGAGTGATGGCGGCTATTCCCCACCCGTGTAAAAACGAGCTGGAGGGAAAGGCAACGGGCAGCTCAGGCCGCCGATGAAACGCAATTTCCCCGAGAATCAGGGAGCATGAAATGTGTTATTGACACCAGCAGCGGTTATTACCATGAGTCATATTCCTCTCGCCATCTCTCTTAATGTCGTCCACGGTAGCCTAATAGAAAAAAGCCCACTGTTGTTCTGGTTAGAGTGCTGTACTGCATGTCCAAAAGTTTGTAGACGCCTGCTCATTCAACGTCTGGTCCAAAATCAGAGGTATCAGATGAGTTTGTCACCTCTTTGCTGCAGCAACTGTCTCTACTCGTTTGGGGAAAAAAAGCTTTGCTCTAGAAGTTGGAACGTTTACTGTGAGGGTTTGATTGCATTCAGACACATTATTAGTATTAGTTAGTATTAGTATTAGTATTAGTGCCACAGAATGCTTTTCTGAGCATATTGTGGATATCGTCAGTACATAAATATCACCTACTGTATGTTTTGATTAGAAAGAGATATAGTGCTGATTAGTCCTGTTTAATTAGATTTAGGGCAGCACAGTGTGTGAAATGTTGAATACAAGTGATAGGGTTCATAATGTGAGCTTTGTATGTTCTAATTTATCAGATGTTAGAAAATATAAATATTGCCACATATTGTGTATCATTAAAACAAAAATTATTGTGACTTACCTGAAGGTATTGGATGCTGCTCAATCACTCCTCATACCCCTCTAGTCAACGCTTGGCATTGGGCATGGTGCACTTAGGCTCATGTGCGGCTTCTCCTTTGCCTCCCATTCCACTGTCTATACTTTTCTGTGGATATTATACAAACTGAATACGCAGTTGAACACCTGTATCAGCAATGGGTGCACCTTTAAATTGAACTCACTGCTTACAACGGGTGTCTGGATACTTTTGGACAGGTGGCTTGTGTAATAGATTTGTGTGCGATGAATGATAGGAAATGATGTTTGTATGTTTCAGGCACCTCATCAACCTGGTCAGCCCGGGTTCAAATTCACAGTAGCAGAATCCTGTGACAGGATCAAAGACGAGTTTCAGTTCCTGCAAGCTCAGTATCACAGGTAAACACCGCTGACCCCTCTGCACTGCATGGTTTTAATGATTGCACATTAATGGCTGGTTTCCCAGACGCAGATTGAGCCAAAGCCTAGTTTATTTTTTTTTTAGGGGTAGAACACCACTGGTATTGTAATTTGCCTGCTTTTAATCTGGGAAACCAGCCTTTAAATATATGAACTGTTAATATGTGAACTTTTTCTGAGGTAGTGGCATGGATCTCACACTGTGTGGTGTATTTATAGAAAACATCCTTACTGCAGTTTGTGCTTTCTATGAATTGTGGTGAGGTGCATTCCAGCATATTGCACTTTACGGGTGGCAAAAAAAAGTGAAAAACAAAAGGAGGCTTAAGATACATCCTAACATACATTCTCTCCTGTTTTTCTTCTCATTTGTTCCAGTCTTAAGGTGGAATATGACAAACTGGCCAACGAGAAGACAGAAATGCAGCGTCACTATGTCATGGTGAGGGCCGGATGTGCTGTTTATTTCCCTATAAGTGGGCTCCTATCAACACCATGTCCTCCAAAACATCAGAGCAGCCAGGCAGATACACAGGCTAATGTTTAGTGTTTACTACCCCTGTTTATCATGCTGATAGTGTTTGCACTGATAGCGTTAGAGTATCAGTTGTGATTAGAGAGGTGTGTGTATTGTGAAATGGCAGTAGGTTCATTTGTCCGGTGTTTGGGGGAGGATGTCATGGGCTGTTCTGAATCATATTCTGGCCTCTTGGTTGTCTTTGTTTAATCCCCCACATTCGGAATGCTATGCAAACCATTGTGCTGTCTGGCAAACTTTCAGTTTCTTCTGTAGCCTATAGTAGTTTATAGTGAAATTGAAAGTTAGTTTGTGTATATGTACTGTGACCTGTTGCTAGGACTTAATCTGGATGGGAACTCGCCTACTTCTCACACATTCTTCCAAACTTTTTCGAAAGATAAAGGGGAAAAAAAACAGCAGGTTTGTGTTTACATTGCTTAGATAAAAGTGCTTGTGTGGTGATGTACTTTTTAAAGAAGACAGACTGCTGTGTAATACAAAGTCTTAAATGTAAACAGACCTGAGGGTATTTGCCCCCTCCCTGCGCTGCTGTATCATCCAAATCAATTCATTAATGGGTCACCGTTCACCCTTGTTTGGGTGCTTGGTTTCTGGAAGCAGGTCATGCAACTGTAGCACGAAAACTGGCGAAAGGAAAGGCAGTTCCTGCAGACTGTGTTGTAAGAGGAGGAACTAAGCTGAACTGTGTTAACCTGCCTCCCTTATCTTATTTGGACATGCAGGGATTGACTTGACATTCCGGTACTTTTGTTAAATATTATTTTTTCGTAGTAAGGCGGGTCAACGAGATAAAGGGCAGTGCTAGATAAACGGAGCGAATCAGAAGGGGCTGGGGAGGTTATTCTGACGTTGGGAGAATCAGCTGATGTTGGTGGCCGTGGGTGACGGTCATTCCACTCTAATGCAGATTAGACAGGGCCAACATAGATATGGAGTCTTGTTCTACGTCATTGCAGGAGTCATAATAGTCTTATTTATTTAGAAATTAGTAGGAGGGGAAGGGAGAACGTGGACAGTGTCTGAATAGGAAGCTAGCCATTAACCTTTGAATTGAATCAGATTTTGTGAGTGTTAAGGCTACTGAGTAAGCAACCATCAAACAGACGTTTGTGTGCTATTCAGAGCTGCAGTTTATCTGTACTCTGTCTCACAATGCTGTCTTTTGTGCTTGCGGCGTATTTCTTTGTTTACTTTTTTCAAGTTGTCGCTTTAGTGTGTGTGTGGGAGTAGACCACAAAGGTCGTCAGTGTCTTCTTTGGATGGTTGTGTATTTTGTGGGTATTGCATTAGCTGTACAGTAGAATGTAGAAGCCTAGACTAATCTGTATTCTCATTTGTCTTGAAATGCCTTGAGAATTTATGATGATAACTTCTTGGTCGAGGACTTTGATCAGATCAGGTCAAAGTATCAGGTGAGGTAAGATCAGATTTCAGTGCGGTCGCCTTATGTGACGCGGACAGTGTGTGACTCATTGATAAACCAATAGCTTTTGTTTGTGTACACACTGTGATTCAAACCAAAAATGACAGAGCAGGAACACGTCACATGCATTGATGGTGACTGGCAGAAACTACAATGTTGTGTCCAGTGTAGCCTTACTATATAGTCTAATTTAACCAGCGACCAGTCTTTGTATTATTTAGTGTTAGTCTTTCTATATATATATATATATATATATATATATATATATATATATATATATATATATATATATATATATATATATATATATATATAATATATATATATATATATATATTATATATATTATATATATAAAATGTGTATGTGCATGCACCCCTCTGATTATCATTAGACACAGCAAATATAGATGAGACATTTTTATGACCTTCTCCCTTAAGGCCGTGTTTCTATGGTACAAAACCGCAGTAAGTGTTTATGCTGCGCTGTACTAAAGTGTGTTAGTATGTGTCCTTTGTATTTCCTATGCTCCTTGAGTGGCTGTTTCAATTACTGAGGGGAAGATTTATCACTGAATGTTCAAAATGTGCTTTTGCCTGCTAAGTCATATTTGTTTCTTCTCTTGCAGTACTATGAGATGTCCTATGGGCTTAACATTGAAATGCACAAACAGGTATGTGACACCTTCACACAACAGTCTTATTCTGTTTTCATTAGAAAAGCACATGTACTGTGTATTGTGTGATTTTGCTGCTTTGTTTTCTGCCATATATCTGTGGTTAAAGGTTAATTTAAGCTTAATGAGGTTGTGTATGTGAATAATTTGTAGACACACATAAGCAAGGTCTGTAAGAATACAATTAGCAAGTAATGTTTGCATAGTAATGGATAGGTGTAATTATGGAGGAGTCTGACTGCGAGTGTGAGGTTTCAGTATCATGAATACGAACCTTAGATGAACAGCTTTAGGTTGCCAATTCAATGTATTGTCTATTGTGAAGATAAAGGAAAGAAATGACTTTCAGAAGAAAATAACACACAGGCATCCCTGTGCTGGTATGCACCGAGCACCCCTTACGCACAGGGAAGTGGAGTCAGCCTGGCAGGCTGACAGGCTAACGCATATTGTGCATTTGTTGTTTTGGGCCTGAATATGATCTGACTAACATGCAGTGTTCTGGCACTGTGACAACACTGCATAAACAAGAGAAAGAGCTGCAGAGAGGAAAGCAGCCGTACCAGATAAATCACAGAACATCAACAGCTTTGAGTAGGATGTGGGACTCAAGAAGGCTGGAACATGCAAGTACTGGCTATCAGGGCTTTGCCACTGATGCATCTTTTTAAAACAAAAATACAGTACAATTAACATGACTTACAGTAGATGCTGATGTCCTGTAGGATCACTTCTCTCTTTTGCTTTGTGGTAGATAAGCAGGCCAAGTGTTCAGTGGAGGCTTCACAAGGTTAATGTCATTAGCAAAACAATAGTCATTTGGAACCGCATACACTACCTGTCAGATGCACTATATGTGTGGGCATTCCTGTTGGTAGTTAATATCCTGAAAGGTTCTGTCTGCAGCTGAGGGGGTTGGGAGCAAACAGGTTAATCGACTGGCCTGCTTCTAGGCCCCTGTTTTGTTTATCAATAAAGCCCAGAGTGAGTGGACTCAAGCACATCCATTATTCATACAGGAGTGGCCTCACTGCCCTCCACTGTGTGCTAGTAATGACATCAGCCTAATCATAAACCTCACATGCAAACCTGCTGTGTTAGAGCTCAGAGATGTGGATGGTTTACAGTTTCTCCTTATCCCAAATGTAGTCGATCAGCCAAAACGTTAATGTAGTCAGTCAGACCATGTAGTGTCTGAAATTTGTAGAGATGCTCCAATATGGGAATTGTGAGCTGATGCCAATATCCAATACTTTCCATGTGTGTATATGGTAATATCTAAACATTTATAGAATATAGATACTGGGAGTATCTCTGCCTGGAATAGCATCACAGAGAATTTTAAAATATACTTGTAGAGGGTTATGCATGCAGTAAATGGATAAAATCTAGACATTTTTGCAGATTAGTCCAACACAGCATAAAGATTCTGTTGGTTCCAATACAATCTTGTAGCTCTCGAAATTTGCCTCTTTTTTTCACTATGCAGTATATTATTCCATTTATATAACTAAGTTTGTCATACGGTGTCAAAGTAAATAAATAAGCAAGGCTGTTTGAGATTACTTAAGACACTAGACTCAGTGTGAGGCAAATGTGTAATGATTTAGGCATGCTGTTTACTCAGTGTTAATTGGTGAGATATAAGGTTTCATTGCTTGTTAGCTTAGACTTGTAGCTCCAGTGCAAAAGTAAAGAAGTAAACTTCAAACACCAACACATCTTGTTTGACTGACTACATTTAGGGTAAGGGGAGAATTGTGCAAATGTGATTTTTCACTGAACTGTTCCTTTAAATTGAAACATTTCAGCCAGAAAAAAGTGCACCAGTTGAAATACCTGCAGTAGTGCTTTAAACTGCTCTACAAGGGCAGCGCAATTGAAGAAGGAAATTCTCAAGTTGCAAAATGACTGATATTTCTGTCCAGTCTGAAAGTGTGCGTGTGTATGCTTGTTCCGGTCTGGTCCAGTTGTCCGTTAGAGCCTGAGGCCAGTTAGGATGGCCAGGCGAGTAGCGGGGCGTCATTAGGGAAGGAGCAGACGGTCGTTAAGGAGGAGGGCAGTGGGGCGAGTGTCAGTACGGTACTTTAATTATCGTGCCTCATTAGGCTGCCCTGCGATGGCAGCACCCTGCTGGTCCAAAGTACAGACAAGTCTCCTTCTCTTTCTATTTTCTCATTTTTTTTTTTCTCTCTCCAGCTCTGCTTAGGAGGTTAGGTGTGTGTGTGTGTGTGTGTGTGTTTCCAGCTTGTTCAGTGCTTTCTGCTTGACAATAAGCAGCTCAACAGAAAGTCTGCATAATTAAGGGAATCTCTCTGTGTCCAGAGAGGTGCAGTGAACTGGTTTAGAATGAGAGAGCGAGCTTGTTCAGATGAATAATTTATTCAGGATTCCAGGAATTGTTTGCCAAGGTGATGATGGTTGACTTGTCCAAGAGCCAAAGTAAACTGACTCAGAGCGTGGCAGTCTTCCTTTGTGTGTGCGTGTGCAAGACTGGCTGCAGAATGCACTCATGCTCATAGTTGGTCTGTAAATTGTTGTTAAAATTCAAGCAGACACTTCTCAGGCTGTTGACCCTCTGACTGAGGGCAGTGGCTGGCTGCTCCGTGAGTGCTGTGTCAGTGGAAAGCGAGCCGTGCTCCGCAGCGCCAAGGGGACTGCAGTCACTCTTACGGTTACCTAATTGAAAGCACACTAATTTGCTGGAGTGATTTTGAAACTGTGTGGTAAAGTTCTTGCAAGGAGATGGTGTAATAGTGACCCTGCAATGTGCTTGCGTGTGCATTTTACTGTGTCAGTACTGTTTCCAAACAGTGTATTTAAACTGATCTTAAAAGACAACTGCCTTGTCATCAAAGGATAATCTTCTTATTTAGTATTTGCGCTGTCAGTTGTGAGAGACCCTGTTAGCTGTTATGAAATACAAGTTCAGGCCTCGATGTCAAATAATTAGTAGGTTGTGTCAGAAACATGTAAAAGCTCCTTTAGATGTGCTGTTGCTTTATTAGAAACTTGACATTTTCAGGGAACCATTTATTTCTCAAGGTTTTATTTAGTTTCATTAGGAACACTTTTTTTTGTCAGTTTTATATGGAAACCTAGTTCATGTGAAATGTGTGCATGCATTTATTGCATTACAGTGTTAAAAGTCTAACATAATGCCTGTGTTGCCAGCATTACAGAATGGTATTGTAGTGTAACTGCTAACTTAAAGATCTGTAGTATATCATCACTGTTGAAGCAAAACTGTTAAGCAATGAAGCTAAGCAATTTTAGGCCATTTCTGTTTGTGCATTGATCATGAATATTTGACCCAACGCAAATGGCAGTTGTCATCTTCAAATGGTGTAAAAACATTTCAAATTGTTTTGTTAAATTTAACATTTTTATTTATATGGCATACTCATAGTTTTGGATTTAAGTGTTTGTGTGTGGCGTGTAAGGTTTCAGCAGCATCTGGCCCAGTGCTCTGCTACCTGACCTGGCCGCTGGGGCCGTGGCCCTTGGCCCCCCTCCCAGGAGAGCAGTGCTCAGGGAAACACAGACATCAATAAACAGTTAGAGCAGGATTTGCTGCACGTTAACAATGGCCCAAGGAGAGCAGCCATCTTCCCCCACTCACGCAGCATCACCGCTCAATACGCCCTTTCTGCCTCAGGCCAGAGGGGATTAGACTAGTAGCGGGGGGTGGGTTTGTGGAGTTTGAGTGCGTTTGTGTGCGTGTGGCAATAGAGGTACAGTTTACTGAAGTTAAATGTACTCTGACAAGCATCTGAGTCTCTCTTTCTGTTGCTTGCTTGCTCTTTCTCTCTTTTTTATATATATATATATATATTAAAAACACACACACTTTTTTTTGTTTGTTTGTTTTTGACATAATTTGAAAAGGCCTGCTGCCCTTTACATTGTGTGTAAATTTAAAAGTAAATTGTTTTTTCCTTCTCCTGTAAAGTCACCATTTTGGAGATATGAGGTTTTCTTCTGACAACAGGTGTGTGTGTGTGTGTGTGTGTGTGTGTGTGTGTGTGTGTGTGTGTGTGTGTGTGTATATATACACACATACATTTAGGTGATGCTGAGCTACAGTGCTAAAATGTCTGCATTTTATTAATTTTGTGTTATATGTAACCCTATCGAAATAAATGTTGTTTGTCTAATGCTAATCCAGATAGGTCAAGTCCCAATTTCTACATTTTATGAATGTGTATGTATAAGCATCGGTACTGGCATCAGCAAATATACACATTACTGTGCATAAATCAGAGACCACCCCTCATTAATTTTTCATTATTTGCATGTTATTCATTTTTCAGCAAAGTCAAAGGAAAATTAGTGGAAAAAGCATGAAATTCCAAGACTGGAGTTCAAAAACTTTATTACAACTTAGAGAGAAAATGGGACTCGTAATAACACAATTGACATATTGATGCATCCCTAATTACAAGTGAGAGTGAGTGGTTTTGTGTACATATGATGGCAGTAGTGGGGTTTATTTACATCAAGAGCACTCTTTTGACAAATGTTATAAATACTTTCTTGTTAGAGTACATTATTTTGCGTTAAACTGTTGTGTGCCGAGTATGTGTGCACTAGTCATGATTACTAGGCTCCTTCTCCTCAACTTTTTTCATCACATTGTATGTGTGTTCATTGATTCATTAGTGAGTGGCACTGCTTCAGCCCCTTGTTGTTGTGCCCCATATTTAATCCTCATCAGTGTCTCCCTCCACTCAGCTAACGCCAGTAGCAACAGGCAAATGGCTCCCTGTGTTCCACTGACAGGGGTGTGTGTGTGTGTGTGTGTGTGTGTGTGTGTGTGTGAGAGAGAGAGAGAGAGAGAGAGAGAGAGAGAGAGAGAGAGAGAGAGTGTGTGTGTGTGTGTGTGTGTGTGTGAGTGTGAGAGTGCTCTTCACGGGGTGCTAGACAGCTCTGAGCACCTGGAATTGTGAAGCCGAGCAAAAAGCCTCCTCAGCGCTCAAGGGCTCTGTTTTCACAGCCTTAAAGTGACGGCGCCCTATTTTTATCGCGCTGCGTGATGGAGCAGCACTAAAAGCTTTCAACACGCTTCGGTGGAAACGGGCACTACCCACACGCCCCCTCCCACCCTCACCCCACACCCTGTTCACATAGCTGAGGGCAAAAGCCCAGCGCTGGGGGAGCGACACGCCAGGGTCACTGCAGCTTTCTCACGATACAGTAGATGTCACCTATACACAAAAGATGGACGAAACTGACCTGACTGTCTTGGGCTGAGCATCTAGCTGTTTGCTGTTGAGTTGTGACCACAGCATTCTCAACAAATGTTGTTGGGTTTTTGTGTGTGACTATTTCACACTTGGTTCGCATTAAGGTGTTGGAGATGGAGATGCAAATTTTTGTGGAAAATATTTACATTTAAGCATTTCAGTGGAACAGCTGACACTGATAGAGCCAATACAGCTCAGATGGAAGATGTAGACAACAGATTGAAGTGTGCTCATGCTGATTGTTTGTAGCCACTGTTTCTACAGTAGCTGCACATGAACAGGAACTAGGCGGTGTAGCCATGCATTAGCTAGCGTGCAGTACATAGACTGATGAGTGTGTAACTTTGGAGTGACGGTAAGCAGCATTTGTTTTTAGCAGAAAACACTGCTGGAAATCAACTGTTCTACTAGTGCTTTTTGGCTCAGTCAGTGGGCTCTGTTTGTATGCCCCCCCCCACCACCTCAGCAGACAGACAGACACACACAGACACACACAAGCGTACACTTAACCCCCCTTTAAGAGGAGCCGTTGGTACCCCCTCCCCCCGCTGACCCGTTTATCCACATTAATTGGCTGAGTTGATCTGACGGACAGGCTGAAAATCTGGTTTAATGACCCGCCCCTGTGCGCATAATATGATTTTGCTGCCTGCTCTGGTCAAACAGAGCTCCAATTTCCATAATGATCTTAGAGAGAGATAGGGCCAGCTCGGTTGCTGGGGCAACCTGGGAGAGTGCCTCAGGAATGGAGGCACTGAAGCTCAAGGGGGGAGAGAGGGCGACAGAGGGAGTGAGGGGACAGTGGATGTGTACTAGAGTGGAGGGGGTTTGTGTGTCTGTTTGTGTGGCACTTTTATTTTTTTTTGTGTTAGCTTGGGGCTACACATTAGCTTGTCTGCTCTTTGTTTTTGCTGTGTTGTATTGAGACATCTTTGTATCATATCAAATTTGTTAATGAATTCCGCGTTGGTGTCGTGCAGCAGTACTGATCTTCAATTTTATTGTTTAAACAAAAAAAAAAACACTTGTCCCCCTGCAGTGTACACTACCAGTCAAAAGTTTGGACCAGTCAAAACAGCTGACTGAATGTGTTGCTGATAGACATTTTGATCTTAAGGCTATCCTTAAGAGAAATAGTGATCAAACATTTCAAAGTACTTAATAAATTACTGCTAGTGATGAACGGAATGTGTCGGAGAGAGAGAAAGAGACTTCTCTCCTCTCTCACCTGCTGGGACATCTGCTCTGTTCTGTAATCAATTTGTTCACCACTTCACTTTTCATCCGCCCTTTGACACACTCATCTCTCTTTTGCTCTTTTGCCCCCTCCCCTTGCCCCCCTCCTTGCCCCTTTTTTTTTCTTTCTGTCTTCCTCTCTCCTGTCCTTCCCTCCATCCATCTCGTCCTCCTTCTCCTTTATTCTCTCTGTCCTTGTGTCCGTGGTGGCCAGTGGCGGCTAGCTCTTCTGCATGTGGAATATGGGAGGGAATTGGAAAATGGTAATTGTTCAGCATTGCCATCATTTATCTCGCAGGCCCAAATCAGCATTAGCATATTTCAGCATCTTAATGAAATAATCTGTCTAGGTAATGAGGGAGAGCTGTGGAGCTGAAGCCCAGATGCTTCTCTCTCTCTCTCTCTCTCTCTCTCTCTCTCTCTCTCTCTCTCTCTCTCTCTCTCTCTCTCACACTGTGTGTGTGCGTGTGTGTGTTCTGCGTGTGTGTGTTCTGCCTCCTGCCTCTTCCTCAGGCCAGATGGGCAGCAGGACCCCAGGCCCAGCCAGACATGTTTGGCTTCTTTTCCACTGTTGCCTTTTGGACAGGCACATTATCCCTAGTGCAGCTTTACACTGGCTTGATGCAATATTGCAGTGCTGGCTTTCATCATGTCTAATGATGCAGTGTGGACTTATTTTTATATTGCAGTAATTCTGCTTGTCAGTCAAAAGGTTAAATTTTGTCATTGTGATTGTGAGGCTGACTGGAGGAATTAAACAGATTAAACAGGTGGGGTGCAGATAAGGGGTAGATGGCAGTGATATGGCAGTGATATAACATTGTGATACTTCAAGACATTTTCACAATACATGGTATGCATCATGATTAATGATGTAATAGTGCAACATATTGTGTTGTATAGAATTGTCAGAGCGAATTGTATTGAATCCTTATCTAGCATGTTATCTTGTAGTTAATGTGTTAGCTTTGGACTAATGTTAGCTTGTGGCTAGAGCGTTACAATGCTGTAAAGCACAAGTTTTGTTTTTTTGTTTTTTGCTGTGTTGAAAAACGTGTTGCATTGAGACACCACTGTATCTTATCAAATCAAATTCTGAATTCTGTGTATTGTTACACCCCAAATTGCTATTCTCAACTAAATTCAATTAACATAATAATGCTCTTTTTGTAACAAAACATGCACTTTATCAGTATTTTGAAGTACTGAAAATATCCATGATATGCTTTGAAAGTTCTGTAATGCTGTTTTTTAACTAATATTTTTGTCATTTGTTTTCTTCTAGACTGAGATTGCGAAGCGCCTCAACGCAATTCTTGCTCAGATCATGCCTTTTCTGTCACAAGAGGTAAATACACATCTTTTGTTTCCTCATATCCAATCTTGCCCCCCTGCTTTTACTGGACAGTTCATATATATATATATGTATATATATATATATATATATATATATATATATATATATATATATATATATATATATATATATATGCATGCATGCTTCTAAATCTAGTAACCGTAGCAGACTTGCTTCCATAAGTCATAATAACTCTATTTCTGTCATCGCCCCAGGCAGTAGGTGAAAATGCTAATGCTCAGTTACCCTTGCTGAAGTAATGTGCGTTAACAGGTCTTTGTCTTTCTCTCCTCCAGCACCAACAGCAGGTAGCCCAGGCTGTTGAGCGTGCTAAGCAAGTGACAATGACAGAGCTGAATGCCATCATCGGGGTACGTGGACTTCCCAATCTGCCTCTCACCGTGTGTATACCCCTCTTACTCCTTCATTTGGCCAGGGCCAGGGGCAAATCTGCACACCGTCCGCATGCTGAACCAAGAAAGCAGCCAATCTGGATAGCCTTGTCTGTTGAGGCCAAAACAGTTAGCATTTTACAACTTCATTGCTCACCTTATCTTCCGCTAAAGCAGTATTTCTGAATGAGACTTGTGATCAGCCGTTGTGTTCGTGACATAAGTCAGAACAAATTTGGTCTGGTTGAAATACGTTATAAGGCTGTTTGGAGCCTATTATAGAACAGAACAGTCCTGGTCAGAGTCAAGATGCAGGTCTGACATCTTGTGCAGATTTGCCCATGCCATTTATGGTCTGATTTTTTTATTTATTTAATTTTGTATTTATTTTGTTTTAATTTGTTGTGTGATGTATTGACACCATTTATGTTTTGTTCATGTGCCATCATCAACCTTCTTAAAAAGTGTTAACACATCATTTAATTTCTGGTTTTATTTATTTGTGTGGCTCTGTTTGTAAATCAGTTTCTGGGCAGTCTAAAGGTGCAAGTCTCATTCAAGACAGTAGATTACAGACTTGTCTGACTCGCTACTTGCCTTGAGAAAAAAAGTAGAAACAGCCTTAATGTGGTAAATGAATAAAATCTTTTCACTTCCACTGAAGTGACTTGTGAGCATCTCCGGTCTGAATCTGGCTTTGGCTCCACTCATTTCCATCATCACTTCAGCCCAAGGATGACAGAAGCAAAACAACAGTGGTTACACCTCTACTATTATAGGCCACTATGTGTGGCTTGTGTTTGTTTGACCCTTCAGCTATTTTTGGGTTAAGAAGATGATCATGGTGTCCCATAGTAGTTTAGGCCAGCGGCTAGAGGAGCTGACCCCACTGTGATTAGCCTGCTTGGGGCTTGGCTGGCTGCTCGGACTCCCTGAGCTGGGTCAGGGCAGCTGGAGCCAGATATTGGAATTCAATTAAAGCAAATGAGCCAAGACTCTGACCCCCATTTTCAAGGTAATTGCTTCCTCCAATCCAGCTGAATGCAACTGTCCACAGGACTCCGCCATTTAGCAGACGGCCATTCTGCAGAGCAGCTTTGTGGTTGTGGGGGGTGGGGGGGGGTTTGACTTCTAATGCTAGCACACACACGGAGACACACATACACACTCGCCCTCTGTGTCTCCTTGTTATCATGATGGCTGGAAAATAGAGGGAGGCAGTCAGGCAGACACACACAGCACTATGGCAGGCAGACAGAGACACACACATGCATGCACACACACCGGCTGGAAAAACAAGCTTTTATTTGTTGGATAAAGAGATGGCAAAAGATCAATCTGTGTGCCCTGGCTCTGAGTGGAAGAGGAAGGGGAGGGGTGATGGGGTCATTAAAGATTCACTGTTAATCGGGAGCCAGCAGCGTTTGGCCCACACACACAGTGGAGGAAAGGAGGGAGAGGGTGTGAAGAAACATGGAATAGAAAAATTGAGAGAAGTGGAGAGGAAAGTAGATGGGCAGAAAAATGAAGAGCGATGAGGGAGAAAGGGAGACCATGTGCTACAGGTACAGATATGGATAAGAAAAGAAAGAAATAAGTGAATTAAAGGAAGAAAGAGCTACAAAATTGGGGGGGGGTGCTTGTTTGTTGCAGTTGTTCTAGCAGACTCCACTCTGAGTGCTGTGACTGTAGGGATGTAAATAGCGAAGAACTGTCTATCCGCTTAGCCGTTTTCAATATCCAGATAGTGCCCAGGCACTTATTATGATGACTTTTGCCATTTAAGGGCTGTGAATATTTGCTTTTTTAAGCAGGGCAAGGCTAGTCACACATTCGCTACCTTTTGGTCTGTCTTCAGTGTTGAGGTTGGTAGCGTTGAGAGTGGATGGTGAGAGGAAAAATTGTAAAACTCTGTGTTGCAGTTGTAGCCTATTGTAAGGATTAGCCTCATGATCATATAGAGGAATGTGTCAGAGTGGCAGGCAAATTTAGTCATAACTTTACATGGTTCGTTTGGTTGTTGTGTGAAATGTGGTTGTTTCCTTTGAGGATTTTGGAAAAGCCTACATGTAACAACAGTAGGGAATGTGGGTTTGCTTTGTGATTAGATGATGTAACAAGCTTTGGGTTTAATGAAACAAATTACTAGAAAGATCACATTTTGGATGAATGAGCAGTGTGTATCTATATGGAATATTACAGTGTGGTCACAGTCTGACTCTGTTCAAGATTCTGGAATCACAGTTTGATATTCTCAGAATATTTGAGTGAAGAAAAACGAACTGCAAGCATGTCATTACATAACTTACTAGTAAGACTAGGGAGAGGGGGCGTGGGATGTGTGTGACTGAATTTGCTAGTGAAGGTTAATTGCAATCTTAGCTGTTCACACAAATTTTATATAGCCTAATGGCATATTAAATAGAAGCTGATATTGCCCACAATGTCATGTTTCATTATGAAGATAGCATATAATTAGACCTGTTTAATTGGATTTAGTGCAGTGAAGTGGGTAAAACATTGAATGAATCTTATTGTATTTGTAGTTTTTGAAAGTAGCTTTTAAATTGGTTGCTGCTGATTCGTCTGTTCCAGCTTTGAAAATCTCATAAAAACGTCTTAGTGTTGCATTTTTTCCGTATCACCCACCCACCTTGTAGTTTCTCAGATACTCACTTAGGTCTCTAATATCTAACTGACTAGTGAGTTCAACAGTGTTACTGATATGATCGCTGCAGAGAATCATTTTCAGAATGCAAATATTTTGTGCGCAGGCCTACAAAAAGCTGAAAAAAACATGCTCTCACAGTGGTTATCTATTGTAGCCCGCATGAATGGCAAGTCCCACAGTTATCAATGTCCCCCCCTCCAAAATCCAGGAGGTTAAACCGCCCTCCCTTTGTTATTGCTGTTGACTTTGTTGTAATGCGGAACCCCATGCTCACTTTGCATGCTGTTGCTGAACATTTGGGTTTCAAATTCAGTTTTCCATGGAAGACTATGAGCTGAATTGGCCTTGTTCTGATAACACAAGCCTGTTGTACATATGGTGGTCAATAGGGTAAGAAGCTTTATCTTTTGATCAGGTGTTATGGCTCATGCCAAAAAAAAACACCCTCATCTGGTAATAGACTGGCTGCCAGGCAACACACCAAAACATGCAAAGGAGCTCCACTGAACTTTTTCATATGCTCGAATTCAACTGTAGTAATAGAGAAGTGAATGGGTCTTTAGCTGATTGATCGAGTGCCTTTTCAACTATCTCACCTCCATCTGTCCCCACTTCCACAGCAACAGGCCCATGCTGTCTACCCAGCGCTGATGGTCAGTGTTAAAAGTGGTTGTGTGTGTGTGTGTGTGTGTGTGTGTGTGTGTGTGTGTGTGGGGTGTAAACTGCTCCTAACAGTTGTCTATGTGTCTTGTTTGTGGACTGTGCTGTGTGTGCATTTTGTGCGGTAGTGTTGTCAACTAAAATCATTGTGAATTAATATAGATCTTATCATGAAATGGCTGTTATTGTCGTTAAGAGTCTTTCCCTTGTGCATACATACATGTGCCTACTTTGGAAATTATCTGAGGATTTCCTTAAATGGAAAAGACAACACTGGAGTGTGTGCGATCTTTATCAGCAGTATGCTGTTAAACGGTTTGGCTAAAAGATTATTTCTTTATTTTTGCATGTGTCTCTCCTGAGCTAATGCATTGCTAATGAGGCAGGTTTGTGATTCTTCTGGTGAAGCACTTTCATTAACCACACACATAGAGCTACCGTGCTTGATTCTCTCCATCTCTCTTTGTTTCCATCCTCCTTCTTTCCCCATCATTACCTCTTTCCTTCTCCCCTTCCCTCTTGTAAATAGGGACTGTGCCCTGGCCACATTATTGATGATTGAATTAATGAGAGCACAGTGTAGCAGCTCTGCGCTCTGCTTTAGTGCATTGCAGAAGCTGCAGATTTTGGGTGTCCTTTAATGTGCCTATAAACTATAATAGTAGTTAACTCTGGAAAACTTAATTTTTCTTATTGTTTGGGAATTTTTAGAAAATTTCCTTGATGTCTTATTGACATCAATGTGGTATGTAAACACTGTTAACGTTTCAAAACATTCCTTCCACTCTTCAGTCTATATGGCCCGTATATGGAAACTACGCTGTAAAATCAGCCTGTTTTGAATTCATTATTTTTATGATGTCATGAAAACGCATTTACGTATCCACCTGCTTAGCCTATGGCAGTTTAGGCCTGTGCATGTGTGTTGAAGTTATGAGAAATGCTTTATCCCAGACAAATCACTATACAGGGCAGTCCCTCAGAAGGATAAAGGGCTTGGAAACGTATTTTTGCATGATCATTTATGACCTTTTTTTTTTATTTATTTATTTATTTATTTTTTATTTTGATAAAACCACATAAACACCATAAGTGGGCCAGATGGAAAGAAAGTAAGATATAGGCCTTTAAGGATTGTGGCCACTTGTGACTGCTTGAGTTGTTTTAAGGATAGTTTAACCTTGTTTTACACAAAATGCTGTAATTGCTGTGAAAGACAAATTAGGGTTATTTGGAGCACATTTTTATTGCTTGGAATTGGTTTTATATTTTTTTTTCCCACATGCCAAAACAAGACTTCCTGCGTGTCACTAACTGTGTATTTTGGAATGTAGCATTTCTGCCATAGATGTGTCACAACTTGCAAAAACACTGGAACAGATGTCATCTAGACTCGGCAGATGTTAAATGATCTTAAAAGGAGTCTGTCTGTTTGTGTGGACATGCACTTATGTCAGGTCTGTCTTACTTTGATCCAAACACTAATAGAAGTGTCAGGGTGCTAATATGCCTCTGGGTGTGTCGGTATGCGTCTGCGCACATATGCTTGCGTGTATGCTAATCCCTCCTCTTCCTCCAGATTTTGGTGTCTCTGTGTCTTTTCCCGCCAACCCACTTGGGGTTCTGTTTGTTTTGTGTGTGTTTTTACAGCAGCAGCAGCTTCAAGCTCAGCACCTTTCTCATGCAGCCCATGGACCACCCGTCCAGCTGCCCCCACACCCCTCGGGCTTGCAGCCCCCAGGCATACCCCCGGTCACAGGTTCCAGCTCTGGACTATTAGCGCTAGGAGCTCTGGGCAGTCAGGCACACCTACCGGTTAAAGACGAGAAGAACCATCATGATCTGGAGCACAGAGGTACACCCGCGTATATTCTATCTACTCTATGTGCGCTATGTACATTTGTTGTGGCTATATCATTTTATAGTGCATTTCCAATTGATTTTTCAAAGTTGCTGCTTTGATTTAGATGGAAATGGAGTCGTTCAGAGTGATCTAGTGGAATGGTTAATTGTAAAGAAGCTGACTGATTTCTTTGCACTGGTGGAAATAATTGTTTGTGTGTGTGTGTATGTTTGTGTGTGTGTGTGTGTGTATATATATATATATATATATATATATATATATATATATATATATATATATATTTGAAATGATAGTTTTCTTCAGGGACTGTTTTGCCTTACAACACCCTGCATGTACATCTCCACCATGAATGGCTTTTAAAAGTGTTTCAGGCTAAACTTTTACCAAAACTATCATAAAGAGACATTAGATGCCTCAGACGTTCTTGTCACCTCTGCTGTGAACAAATTTCTCTGTAACTCAGGTTTCACATCAGACCACTCTAAATAACTGTTTGTGTGTGAATTGAACATGAGCACTCCATGTCGTGGCTTTCCTACCAACATAAATTTTTGAAAGCAAACCTTTAGTAGTTTTCAATGGGGTGTGTGTGTGTGCGTGCGTGTGTGTGTGTTTTATCTATAGCACACAGCCAGTTATCACAGAAAAGAATGTTGACAGTTTCCATATACTTGGAAAAGAGCAGAAAACATGTTCATTCAGAACGCGTTTATAATAGATTTTATAGATCCATGCCTTTCAAAAGATGAATGAATACTGAAAACTACCAGTAGAAAAGCTCACTGAGTGTTTCTAGCCTCTTTTATTTCCATGTAATTTGTTCTATGCACAGTCACTCTCAGGTATGCTCCTCATACAGAAATTGTTCATGTAGAGAAGTTGAAGGACGTGTACTTACTTCATGTCTTTATTTTTCTCCCCTTTTATTTACCTTTCCTTCCTGCCACACCATCCTCCTCTCGTTGGCGCGGACACAGACCGGGAGTCAAGCACGGTAAGTGGCAGCGAGGGCGTCTGCTTGACATTGACTTTGAGTTGCACTGTTTGCTGATGGGGGCTCTTTGTGCGGCATTACAGAGCCGAGGCCTGCCGGGAGAGGGCCCGGCTGCATTACTGCACACTAAGCCCTTTTAAATAAAGTAATGAAAGGGAAATGGAGTCTGCAGTTTAATCCCGCTCCGCCTTTAATCCAGGTGAAAAATGAGCGGCGGCGCAGGCCAGGGATTAGCAGCTCTATAATTTCATCACAATTAAAAAAGACTTTGACTCTGTGTCTTAAAGGATTTGTCCTCTGCACTACCCCAATTTATCCTCCCCACCCCCTTCTCTTTCTGGCTCGTCTCCGGCCCACTGTCGCTGTCGGAGACTGGTCTTAGCCAGTCTCACTTCTTTCCTCCTTTCATTTGTTTCTTTTATATATTCCTGGTCTCCCTCCCTCTCTCTGTCCTCTCTTATCATTTGATCCTTCCCTTTTGCCCTTATCTGTTCCATATCCTCCAAATGCCTGTTTGTGTTCTCTTTGTCCAGTAAGCTGGCTACGAGCAAAGCCTCTGACTGTTTGCGTGTTGAATGGGTGCAGTCATGTCTGCAGAAATCAGAGCCTGTTGCTGATTAGCGCTTAGCTCTGCGGCGGCCATTCCGCTCTACGGCTGCCTGGTCTTCCGCTTGTCACGGGTCATCTGATAGGGCTGCTCGAACTTCGCCTATTGAGTGATGTTAAGCCTGCCTTAAAAGGGCAGCCAATTAAACCTACTGGGGAGCAGCAGTTTCATACACATACATAGACTCTTCCTTCATCTCATGCTGTCGATGCAGTCTAGATCTGTTTATTACTTGAGGATTAGGATACGGAAGAAACAGAAGCGGAGATGGACCACACTGACAAAGGCCACATTGAAGCGTGCGTGTTGGCCGGTGCTGCGGTGTGTGAGCCGGTCAGTGCTGGGCCTTCTTTTGTTTCATTCCCAGGAGAGCAGAGGTTTTTTTTTGTCAGCCTTGAGAATACTTCCCTTAGCCCAACCACATCCTCCTTTTCATCCCTCTCTCTTCCTCTCTCTCTGCCTCTCTGTCTCTCTCTGGATGAATAGAAGGCTGTCAGGCAAAGAGAGCGTGGGCTTGGCACCGTGGTTTTGGCCCTGGCATGTGTGCCCTGGCACTGCCTTTCTCACTATGTCTCTCTCTTTCTCTCTCTTTTTCTGGCTCTGAGAGGATGCCATCCTGCCCAGGCATGCCCACAGAGGCTGTGCCACTCAATGCCCAGCCAATGTGGCTGCCAATCCCCCCCTGCTTTTCCTCCCCACTCATCATCTAGTTATGTCTGATTCCTCTCTGTTGAGCCACTCTGTTTTAGTATGTCACTCTCCAGACAGGCAGCCTCAATCGAAGCACCTCATTCAGTTCTCTCCCCTGTCCTAGTTCGCCCACTTTGTCTTCCTCGCCCCTCCTGTTCGCATTTATTTATTTACTGTGGTAGAAACCCACCAAGAGCAATAAATGGAGCGAATGATCTTGGCAGAGGGCCGAGGAGAGTGGGCAACATGGTCTCCCCCTGCTGCCTCCCTGTTCAGCCCTGCTAAGTGTAGAGAAAGGTTAACTGTTGGCTTGTGTTTTTGGTTTAGGGGTGGGGTTTTCTCTGGGGGGTGCCAGAGGATAGGAAAACAAGCTGTCCTCCGGCTGGTTAACTCTCAGGGAGGAAGGTTGCTGATTCTGGTCAGCTTGTTTGTGTTTCGCTCTGTTACACCCCTCATCCTCCCCTCCTTCCCTCCTCCATCCCATCATCCCTTCGTCCCTGTGCTGTCAGGATCACTTTCCTCCCGAAGCGGCTGTCCAGTTGGCTTGTTGTGGCTGGATAAGGCTCCATGCCGGTTGCCCAGGACTGTAGGGTTAGGCCAGGCTGTTTGAAGTGCAGTGTGGTTGGCCCAGCCTGGGAGCTCCTCTCTTCAGCTCCAGTTTGCTCAGCTGTCCTGCCTGCTTTGCTTCACCGGGTCTGGGTTCTGTAGGATGGTGTGCGTGCACACACACACACACACACACACACACACACACACACACACACACACACACACAGCTTCTCCCTGGCTGCCAGTCCACTGCTGATCTAACACGGTGCAGAGCTTAACCCTCCGCTCCAGCCGTGTTTACTTTCGACAAGGGCTGGATTTACACACACGCCTTGTTCAAAGCCTCCGGTGGCCCCAAGTCGCCTCTGATATTTGTGTTAGGGCTATTGAGAGCCCTGTCTGTCCAAGCTTTACTGGCTATTTACAACTCCAGACTGCTGCTGCGATGAAGAGGTTTCTGTATTGGGCTTTTTATTAAATATCTTATAGCATAGGATCTTATTTACTGATTTAGCAATTTTTGGCTTTGACTGAATTTTGGACTTTTATAGTAGTTCATAGTTTATAACCAAAACAATACATGGAAGACAGATTAAACAAAAATTGTGTATTTTTAATATGTAATAGCACACTTTAATATCTTGTAACATGGATGTAAAGCATTCTGAACTATTTTTGTGCCCTCACATCTGCAGAATAACTCAGTGTCGCCGTCGGACAGTCTGAGGGCCAGCGAGAAGCACAGGGGCTCATCTGACTACAGTCTGGATCCAAAGAAACGCAAAATGGAGGAGAAGGATAATATGAGCAGATATGTAAGTGTGCACAGTAATATAAACTACTATTTTTGTTTAACAAAGTATTTTAGTCCAAGTCTGTCTACATCTGTCATTTTACTTACAAAGAACATCCTTTTTTTTAAGTATTCCATAGGGCATAAAAAATTAAATGAGTCTTCTGTCTGTTTCCTGCCATAGGACAGTGATGGTGACAAAAGTGACGACCTGGTGGTTGACGTCTCCAATGAGGTAACTTTTTATGTAGATTACTTGCTGCAAATCCATGCTTATGCATGTATTTGTGGGTTCTATTTATGTGTATTTGCATGTTCTAATTTGTTCGCATGTTTTTTCATACTTTCCCAATAATCCCTAATTCTCAGCATTATCTGACTTCATTTGTTCATAACCTGGATCCTACTGCTTTTCACACCATGTAAAGGGCTGCTGTTGTGTTCCATTTATGTTGAAAAAGAAAAATGGTTTATTTTAGTTGGTTTTTTGGAAAGCAACAGTATGACCAATAAGATGTATTGATATGTTGACACCCCTGGTTGGTCATATTCAAGCTCTGGGTTCATGTAAATATCTTAACTCTCCTGCCTGCAGGACCCAGCTACCCCGAGGGTCAGTCCTGCTCACTCTCCTCCAGAGAATGGCCTGGACAAGGCCCGGGCACTGAAGAAAGATGCCCCCAACAGCCCAGCCTCTGTGGCTTCATCTGGGAGCACCCCCTCGTCCAAAGCCAAGGATCACCCACATGTAAGACTGGAAACACTACTGTTTTCTGTGTCGCTAACTCCTTTAGTATAATGGCACTGGGTTTTAATATAAGTCTGGTCCATCGCCGACTAGAAGCACATCAGATACGACCACTTGGCTTCTGTTTGAGCCTCTTCCAGTGTTTCACTGCTCTTAAACTAGTCAGAGGCTGTGAGAGAGCGAGAGAGAGAGAGGGGGATTAAAGCAAAGTGCAGAGATGAATCGGGTCTCCCTCCTCCCTGTCCTCTGAGTGTGTGGGAGCTTTTGATTCCATCCTGGTCATAATGAGCTGTCAGGATTTGATTGGATTAGTTGGCAAGAGCACTGTGATAGCAAATCTATCTCTCTCTCTCTCTCCTCTCTCTCCTCTCTCTCTCTCTCCTCTCTCTCTCTCTCTCTCTCTCGCGCGCTCTCTCTCTGTGATTCTTTGTTTCTGTGTTTTAGATTGGTCAGTTTCTAATTATCCTTCCACTCCTTCATACAGAATGATAAGTCCTCCACCCCAGGCCTGAAGTCCAACACCCCCACCCCACGTAACGACGCCCCTACACCAGGAACCAGCACCACCCCTGGCCTCAGGCCCATCCCCGGCAAGCCCCTCGGCATGGAGGCCTTGGGTAAGATCATATGCACATACATTCGATACATTCCAAACCTCATCTTTTCAGTAATCATTTTGTATCTCAAAAATGTGAAATGTTTTATGTACTTTTTCATGGTGACTGTGCCAATAGCAACAATCCAAAATTACTTTCAATAATATCTCTTTACAATAATGTAATTAACATTTTTGCTTCTCCTGTAAAATTACCATTCCAGGGGTTTTGTTACAACATCAATGTCTTGAAGGCTTTAGTGAGTTGCTTACAACTATTATTCATGCTGAGCACTTTTGTCCCTCCCTCATGCCAGCAGCTCCTGCCCTGCGCACTCCGTTGTCCTACGCAGCTCCATTTGCGATGATGGGTCACCATCCAGAGATGAACGGCTCTCTGACCAGTCCAGGTGTCTATGGCCTCCACATCTCTTCCGGGATGGGTGCAGCTTACGGCCGATCGCCTATGGTGAGATTGCTCCCTGTCCTCTCACCACTTTAGGGGCCTTTAGTGGTTAAATATCGTTTTGTGTTTTAACTGCCAGTTCGTGTGCTGTGTCTGGGAGCAGAGGAAGTAGAAGGCTTGTGGGTGTTGAAACAGGCTTGAGGCAGAAAAAAGTGGTGCTTGCTTGTTTTAACAAGCCTTTCTGTAATGAAGAGAGAGGATCTGGAGTTTAGATGCAAATTGTGGCACACTGTTCATTTAATGTATGGGTGTGTGTGTGTGTGTTGTGTTTTATAGCCGGGATTCGATCCACATCCTCACATGCGGGCTCCTGGTCTCCCAACCAGCCTGACGTCGATCTCTGGAGGAAAACCGTGAGTACTTAGCTTTTAAATGTGGTCAGTGTGGGTGTGTTAACACTGTGTTTACAGTGAAGATGGAAGTGTGACTGGAGGTATTTGCATGAATGTGGAAAATAGACAGTAAAAACTACACCAACTGTTCTTATTTTTATGCTTGAAAATAGCCTGTTTTTTTTTTTTTGGGTGAAAATTAGTTATAATTGATTAGAATCAGTTCTAACATTGCAGTTGAGTCACCTCCTTCAGATCAATGCATCATGATGCACTGCTGAATAATGCTATTACCAGTTACCTGAAGCATTGATGATGCATAGCACTAAATTGCTGTTGTGCTGTTAGTTCAAGATAGGAGATACACTCTTTGTTCAAACAGATCTCTCATCTCATGTGTTCTTTCTGTCCCAAACAGAGCGTACTCCTTCCACGTGAGCGCAGATGGGCAGATGCAACCAGTACCTTTTCCTCCAGACGCTCTAATCGGCCCGGGCATCCCACGCCACGCCCGCCAGATCAACACACTGAGCCACGGAGAGGTGGTTTGCGCAGTAACCATCAGCAACCCCACCCGCCACGTCTACACGGGTGGCAAGGGCTGTGTGAAGATCTGGGATATCAGCCAGCCTGGCAGCAAGAGTCCTGTGTCTCAGCTGGACTGCCTGGTAAAGATCAGGGCTCGTGGGCGTGTCTACACTTTGTGGTTGTTAAGAAATGCATCAATATGGAATTTCTGGGCCAATAACAAAAACCCATAATAAACACCTTACTGTAGTTGACAACTATACCAATAATTGAATTTTTTATGAATTTTTAAACAATTTCACATGAAGTAGAGTGACCATTAGACAAGTTAAAACTCTAAAGATGGATCATTGATTACATATATTTAGCCATGATGTAACTAAATTAATTATTGTGACTGTTTACATATTTAGCAGATGCTCTTATCGAGTGGTTTTCAATGGCGTAAATGTTGTGTCGGGAGTCTTCCCAAAGACTCTTACAGAAGTGGCTTTTCTGCCTGGATGTGTTTGCAAATACAAATAGAGTAGCAAGCTCTGCTGACTGTAGCTTCAACATTAGACCGGTTAATGATAATTATATATGATAATATATAGTTATGCGGGTGAGGAATCAAGTGTGGTCCCCTCATGCAGGCCTTTTGCAATTTAAGAAGTTATTATTGAACGCTGAGTGCCACTTTAAGTGAGATTCAACCAATAGCAGTTTTTGTTACTGAAACATCCTTCCATCCATCTATCAGTTACGTGTGTTTTGTTATATTAATGCAGGGGAGGGGAATTCTCTGGAATGAATCAGTAATGATCATGATGTAATTCTTCAGTTTAATTGTCCATAATTCCTCCATTATCCTCTTCGGTGGATGGAGCTGTAGTTCTCTGGAGTGCTAAAGTCTTCTGTTTCTCCACAGCAGAGTGGGAGGGCAGTGTGGATTTGATGAGCTGTTCAGTGGCCATCATAAAGTGATTTAATTTGTCTGAAAGCTCCCAGTTATCGATCTGCCCCGGCGAGAGATCCAACCTTCTGCTGTTAATCTGAAAATGTGCTGCATCCTATCTGGAACTGCAACCAGAAACCTTTTAAAAGCTCCCCGCCCCCCAGTGTGCACTGTTCTGCAACCTCTTATCAGCCTTTTCTCCTTCTCCATTAACCTTCATAATCACAGCACTGAAAGGGTAGGGCTGAGAGAAGAAAGGCGCGGAGGCTGCCGGCTCGCTTGAAGCCATGCCATTTTGTTTTCACCTCCTCTGAAGTAGTGATTATTGCGGAGAGTAGAGAAGGAGACGCGTTACAAAAGACTGGGAGGGGAAAACTATATTAAATTACAAGCTGTTCTCAGGAAATATGGACAGAAAAATTTCCTCAGGGTGCTTGAACAATTCCTCCTTTGCAAACTAGCCTTCTCTCTTTCTCTCTCTCTCTCTCTCTCTCATTCCCTCTCTCCTCCTCTTTAGAACAGGGATAATTACATTCGGTCGTGTAAGCTGCTCCCTGATGGCCGTACTCTGATTGTGGGCGGTGAGGCTAGCACTTTGACGATTTGGGACCTGGCCTCTCAGACGCCTCGCATCAAGGCTGAACTGACCTCCTCGGCTCCGGCCTGCTACGCATTGGCCATTAGCCCTGATGCCAAGGTCTGTTTCTCCTGCTGCAGTGATGGTAACATTGCCGTATGGGACCTCCACAACCAGACCCTTGTCAGGTAGGTAGAAAGTGGGTTTTTCATAGCTCTCATTATATGTAAATAGTTCAGCTAAAAAATCAAATTTACATACTCGCATAATTCACATGTAGATGAGCCGCGGCTTTATTGCTCTTTGCTTCTTTAGTTGTATCATGAAAACTGCATGCCCAGAAAATGTAATGGCACTCTTGCTTGGAGCTGTTAAATAATCTCTAAACAGACTTGCTTATGTGGTATCTTGCACTGTATGCTGTAGTCATTTGTTAAAATGGAGAAAAGTATGTTGCGTAGCGAAAACCACTAGTAGCACCTATCTTGTGTCCTTAATTGTCTATACGTTTGACTAGTTTTATCAAAAGCAATACGACAGCACCCAAATAATACCAAGATTACCAAGATGATCACAACTGAGACGTAGGATAGACAGATTCTGCCATGCCAAAGCTGTCCACTATAGACACCAGCAGAGACAGGCTTAGTTTGATTTAGTAATTTAAGTGTTGTTGATGTGCTCGATTATTCAGGAAAAGTTGAAAGAGTGAAAGGTAAGTCTGTGGTTTGCTGGTGGTCTTGCAGGCAGTTCCAGGGGCACACAGATGGAGCCAGCTGTATAGACATCTCTCATGATGGCACCAAGTTGTGGACAGGAGGCCTGGACAATACTGTCCGGTCCTGGGACCTGAGAGAGGGACGGCAGCTCCAGCAGCATGACTTCACCTCACAAGTAAGAGACACACAAACACATTGGTGATGCAATAAAATGTTTCTCACACCTGATTTAGCTCAAGATGGGCTTGATAATTAGCTAATGATGTGTCAGAACAGGGAAAATGAAGAATTGTGTGTTGCTAGGGGAACTCCAAGACAAGCTGGACATAACATGTGATTTGTGAAACACACGCTAACTTTTAGAAACAGACAATTTGTGCCATTCCACTTTGCAAGCTCTTCAGTACAAGCCATTAGTCCGATGGTATATAGTTAGACTGGAACAAATGCCTCGGGCATTTCAAACTGTGTCAGACAGTCCTGAATGTAATACTTAACTGTGATGTCCAGGCTGTAGTATGTTTTGGGAATAATGGTTTGGTGCTTCTGCTGCAGATTTTCTCTCTGGGCTACTGTCCAACCGGCGAGTGGCTGGCTGTAGGCATGGAGAGCAGTAATGTGGAGGTGCTTCACCACACCAAGCCAGACAAGTACCAGCTCCACCTGCACGAGAGCTGTGTGCTTTCCCTCAAATTCGCCTACTGCGGTAAGGCAACCTGTACAGAACACTTAAAGAAACTCTCCAATTGTAGCTTTCATTGTGCTTTTTATTAAAGCAGTAAGCAGTAAGAGGCTGTTTGACAGTGGTTTTACTGTGGTTAAAGGGGACAATTCAGTCATTGAGAACAAAGTCATTCAGAGTGATTTGATGTGAATAGTTCATTGTAGAAAATTTTACTGGCTCATGTTTTCTATACAATGGTGGTGATGGAAACCAGGGGTTCCAGTGTCTAAAACACAAGTATAGCCATTTTGTTTACTATTCAAATTGACTAGTAAAGCTAAATGTGCCATGAATAGATAAAAGGTTTTAGGCTAAAACTCAGAAAACTGTGAATCAGGCATAACATTTTAATTGATCATTTTTTTTTGTGATGTTGCTAGAGGAGTCAAACACTTCAGACATCTGGTTCCTATGACCACTGTGAACAATTCTGACTCCATAAGTTTCTCTAAAACGAAGCATTTCACATCCAACCCCTCTGAATGACTTTGTTTACACCTGAATTTAATCATGTGGAAAAAGAATTCTATAAGATTTGTCGTTAGCCGTAAAATGACTGTTTTCCACTGCCTTTGCATGTAGCTCAGCTGATATTTTTTTTCTAAGCAATCTACTTCATAATAATCTTTAATCAGTCTTTGTTTTTAATTAAATTGGGTGAAACGTCTAAATCTGCCCTGAGTTCTAGAAAAGTCTAAAATTGTGATGTTAATTCTTTTTATTTGTTTGTTTTGCATTGATCATGTGTCTTTTGTACGCACCAGCATACCAGTCTGTTCCCATACCATACAGATGCTGTTGCGTTGGCTCTGTCCTTGTCCATTAGAGTGTATATTTTCCTTCAGTGCTGCTATGTGTACCCTTTCATTCCTTTTTCCTGCACTGACTGTCAATGTGTTTCCTTTCCGCCGTAAAGGTAAATGGTTCGTGAGCACAGGGAAGGACAATCTGCTGAATGCCTGGAGGACTCCCTATGGCGCCAGCATTTTCCAGGTGTGTCAGTCAATATCTTAGCTCTCTCCTGTTCTCCCACGCGTAGCATTACGTGCTCTGAATGGGCTCTGCTCCAGAAGGGCAACGTGAAGGCTCAGCCAGCGCCCCCCCCAAACCCTCCCCCCAAGCTTGTCAGCTTCAGGCCCGACACAGCTCTGATGGGGCTGTGATTGATGTGTTCTTTACATGCAGCTGTGCAGGCTGGGATGGTAATTTGAATGCTTTTAACTCACTGACTGGGAGGTGTACAGGAGGTGATCATCATCTTGATGACGTGAATGTAAGGTTGAAGGTCTGAGCCGTCAGCCTGTTTTTCTGTGGCATTCTTAGAAGTTGTGATAGCTGGGCCTTGCACATTTGAAATGTCTCAGCTTTCATAAATAACAGGAAAGTGAAGCTTCTGAATTTGAGGAACTGAAGGAAAGATGATTGCACTGTTATTATTGTTATTATCCTCACATAAGACAGAATTCAAGATGGGGAAGTGTGGCTAACTTCTCATTCTGATTTGTGGAAGTAGAAAACTTGACTATGACTAAGCTTTTTTTTCCCCTCTTTTGTTTCTCTCTACAGTCAAAGGAGTCCTCGTCTGTCCTGAGCTGTGACATTTCTGCTGATGACAAATACATTGTGACAGGATCTGGTGACAAGAAGGCCACAGTTTATGAAGTAATCTACTAGATTCAGGAGTGATCCACTAGATCCAGTGACCTATGACTGGAGCTTCTCTTTTGGCCTCGTTAAGAGTGGAATTGGGATGAACACAGCCCCCCCCCTTTCCTACAAAGACCTTCAAAGAGGAAACCATGTTGGGGTTAAATTTGTCAACTTGGATTACATAACTGATGTGTTTGATAGATTTTCGTGTTACTGGAACAGAACCGCTCCAGGGCCTTTTGGAGACCTACTGGTCAGTTTATCTGAGGACCTCTCCCGGATGGCACTAAAGAAGTACATATTGTCTTGCCTTTTACTTTGAGTCTGCTCACGAGATTCGCTGGGTGTGTGCCTATTCTTCCTTTCATTTGTCCTTTTTTTCCTGTCTTTCTTTTAACAAAAAGCAAATGATCTGTGATGCAACATGAAGCAGTGCTTCATTTTTAGCCTCCTGCTCCCTGGATGACTTGTGAAAAGTGTATATATGGAGTAATAAAAACATTTTATAAATATATATGATTATATGTATATATATTTCCTTGTCCTGGTATACTTGTGATGGGTTTCTTTTGTCCTCATGTCCTCGATGCTTGATAAATGTAGATTAGGACCTACTTTTTTAAGATGAATTTGTTTGTTGTTTGTTTTTTTTTGTTCTTATTTTGATTTTTGTAAGTGCACTCTCTGGGTTGCCAGTTGATGAGGCAGCATTTAAAGAGGACATTTGTAAGCTTCGCTGGGCTCTGCAGACGCCTGGATGTGAGCTGTTTGGTGGCCGAGGATGGAGAATGGTGGATGGTAGTTCATGGATGGATGCCAAACTGCATTGAACTCTGCCAAGTACCAGAGAGCAACCAGAGGAACGTTGGGAGATGTTTGTAAATTAAAACCAATATTAAACTTGGAGAATTAACTAACTGTACTGCTTGTCTGTCCCCTTGACCCTATCTCGTGTTGTGTTTGTTTCGGTGTGGGAGAGGAGTAGAGGGTTGGGTCAGTCAGTAAAGTGTGAATAAAAGAGGAGCACCCTTAGACTCTGCTAGAAATGAAGATCCTAATGACTGCTACCAGTATCGGGATCAAGTCGGTACAGCCCAGAGGAACCGCGGCAAACCGTCCCACGTAGCTCTATTTTGTTTTGAACTACTGATGACTGAAATGCTCATGTAGGATCAGTGCAGAATGCAGGTTTATATGACCCGGCTGTTCCACTTTTGTTTTTTGTTTTGTTTTTTTTTTACATCAAGGGTGTTTTCACAAACTGCTCTTGACTTTTATGAGGTTGAGGTGCTAAAGCGTGCTGCTTTGTGTGGGAGTGGGAGAGAGCAACTTTTTGAAGCTGAACGAGGCCGTCCTAATGTGTAAATGTGGAGTGAGTTTTAACAGGGTGGAAACAGCATTGGGCTCTGTCCATAGACTCCGAGATTCACCACCAACAAACAAAGCCAAACCCTGCTGCCTTCCTGCCTGGCACAATCCTCTCAAGTTCACACCAAAGTACGTACTAACCTGTCAGCACTGAAAGTGTGCAGCTATTCATAATCAAATAAACTTCTTTTGTAGAAAACTGCCATTTGTTGCGTTCATGGTGAACAATTTTGGACACAATCATGTGGGACTGTACTTCAAACTTGAGCTACTAAATGACTGTCTTGCATGCAGTGGTGAAAACTACTTAAATGGAAGTATGGAGACTCAAAACTCTTAAAAGTGGAGGTATTGAGGCAAAAACTACTTGAGTGAAGTGAAAAAGTATTTACGGTTAGGACACCCTAAACACATTAAATATTTAGTTCTTTATTAAGAAATATGGACATATCAATATTTGATCTGTTTTCAGACAATATCTATAGATGAAGGTGATGTAATTGCATCACCTTTACAAAAATAATGAAAATGTGACTCATTTATTCAATGCCAATTCCTACTTAGGAAAAAGTTAGGATACCCTGTGCCCTAATAGCTGGAATTTCAGCCAAAGAGGGTAGTAACCTCAATTAGATGTTTCCTATAACCCTCTACCAGTCTCTGACATTGACTGGGACAAAGTTTTTCCTGCTCCATGCCGAGTTCTTTCAGCTGTGCGATGTCCGAGGGGTTTCTTGCACGCACAGCCTGTTTCAAATCACCCCACAGCATCTCAATAGGATTAAGATCTGCGCTGTTCCAGAACTCTCCATTTCTTTCTTTTGAACCATTCTTTGGTGGATTTGCTGGAATGTTTTGGGTCATTATCATGTCACATGGTCCACCTCCGCTCCAGCTTCAATTTTTGAACAGGTGGTCTTTTCCTCCAGCACCCTCTGATACAATAAAGAATTCATGGTGGATTTGTGATGGAGAGCAGCCCCAAACCATGACATTTCTATCTCCATGCTTCACAGTTGATATGAGGTTCTTGTGCTCAAATGCTGTGTTTGGTTTCCGCCAATCATGTCTTCTATAACTGTGCCCAAATAATTCAACTTTGGATTCGTCTGTCTAAAGCACATTGTCCTAGAAGTCCTGATCTTTCTTCAGTCAGTTAGAAAGTGTTGTTATAGTTAAAATGACATACAGTGGTGAACATGCTCACAACTTTTTCGGAATGTGTTGCAGAGCATTAGGGAAAAAAGGTAAAACATTAAATATATTTTGGTCAAGCAGAATTTATGAAGGTTTGTACTATTACTGGAGTGTTTTCCACCCCTGCTTGCAGGAAAAAATGAACTGTTATTACAGCAATGAATGATCGTAATGTCATACCAGCACACTGAGAACTAGCACAGATGTATTTCATAAAGCGACGTAGTGAGGTGGGGTTGATGTTGTGAAAAAGAAGAGGACTTTATTGAGTAACAAATGTTTGGATTTATTAAACTGCCTGAGCAATTAAAACAAATGGAGATCAAATCTGAACAGACACATTTTAAAATGAATGAAGACAACATATGGAATGTAAATTACTGAGGAAGTGAACGGTCTGAAATGAATCACTAAATAAACAGCCGAATTTGCCAGAAAGTGTGATGGACTGTGCTCTGTGCTGATTGGGGGCAAGCTGTTGCCTGTCATTAAGCATTTTTTTCTTTTTGAAATGTGAAATATATGGATGATTATTAAACACAATCTTCATCAGCAGCTGTATTTGCTGTTACCTCCAACATGGGCTATTTAGCTTAAGTCAAAAGGTGACTGAGCGGCTGTGCGTCGGCTTTGCACCCGAGTCCAAAGTGACAACTGCTGTTCCAGCACAGAGGAGAGAGAGAGGGAGAGAGGGGCCACACTGGGGGTCTGAGTCATAAGTAAATATTCCAACATGGTGTCAGGCTGTTGAAAAGACTGATAGGGGAAGCTGAGACACGTAGCTGTGTGTGTGTGTGTGAGAGAGAGAGATTCCGCTGGCTCAGCTTTGTGCTGTAACCACAGATCTAGCTGACTCAAATTTTGCCCTGCAGTCCTCCTGTCACAGATGCTCACGCCCACACATTAACACACACTCTCGTATACAGGCTCTCCCTTACCTCGGCTCAACTGGACTTTGGGGTCAGAAAGTGTGCGTGCAAGTGCATTTGCCTTTCATGTAGGATGAGCTGGCCTGTAGAGGAGCCTGAGGGTTTCTGTGCTGAAGGAATCATTTTAGACTGGTCGCTATTCATCATATAGGTAATCAAGTAATTTACTTACGGTTTTTATAATTCATGAAATTTTTATAGACCAGACAGTATAAATTGACCTAAATAAACAATAACAAAGCACACAGAGCCTTTCAAATATTCCAAATACTTTATTGGAAAAAAGATACCCCAAGGTACAATCAATGTACAGTACTGTGCAAAAGTCAGAGACGTTTCCACTCAAAATGACCGTTGAGTACAAGTTATTCATTTGCCAGCTTTGGAAAAAAGGCAGAAAACACATTTAACACTAAATTACAAAGACAAACAACAATTTAATATATAATTTCTTTAGTATTTAGTTTGTCCACCCTTTACCTTTATTACAGCTTTTCCATTCTTTGCTTTCAGAGTTTGAAAGAAATCCGCAGTGAAGTTCGGTCTCAGAAATTGGTTCCATTTTCTGCTTCATATGATCCATATAATCCAAAACTCATTCAGTGATGTTGAGGTCTGGACTTTGGAGTAGCCAGAGCTTCTTTGTTTTGATTTTCCCCCTTTTCTTGACAGCTACACATCCTTTCAGAGCCTTAGTGTTCTCACAGTGGAAGGATGGACAGAAACACTTGGACTTTTGCAGATCTGAAGCAAAAGTGGATCTTGATTTTCTCTCAAAGATGAAAGCTTAACTCCTCTTTATGTGATGGGGACAATTCTGGTGGTCTACTAATGACCATGAAACTAATGGGTGTCCAAATAAAGAATAAAGAATACTAGGTCTTGCACAATTTTTAGGATACCAATTTTCTCTCTGCTTTTTAGTAATTTTTTGAACTCCAGTTTTCTTTTACTTTCACTTTCCTTATGCAAGTGGATCTTCTATCTAATACTGTAAATGTACCATCAAAAGTACTCCCAGTTTTTTTTTTATGTCCAATTATGTACCTTCAATGAACTTGGAAGATACCCTACATTCACATTCCCTCACGAAAGATGCATATTTGTAAAAATATGACTGCAGTGAAATATGGTGCCCTTGAGGGAACCTCAGTGATAGTGCTTACACCCTGAAAGGCGCAGTTTTTAAAAGGACAGTGTAAAAATGCATCATCATCATGCAAACTGCCAAACAATCATTGTGGATTCGTTGAGGTGAACTGTACATTGGCACTATTTTTTAATCAATTCATCAAATTTAATGGAGCAACTGTAACAGCCCTGAATTTCATAGCATAACAGCTGATCGGTGTGAGTCTTATAGTGAAGTACAGTGAGCAGTGTAATAGTCTGTAGGTCTTATCTCTCTCTCTGTAGAGATCTCTCTGTATTTCCATTCTTTCACCCCTCTTTCTTTTCCATCCTATCTCTTTTCTCTCACTTTCTCACTTTACAACTCTGTCTCTCCCTTCCTTCTGCCATAGGCCAAGGTTCACCCCCCCCCCTTTCTCTCAGTGAGCCACAGGCAGCCCTTGAACTCATTTGCACTCTGGCTGGGGTGCCTGCAGTGCTGAATTGAGTTGATCTCTCTCTCTCTCTCTCTCTCTCTCTCTCTCTGACGAAGAATAGTCCTGCTGAGAGCTAATGCACTTTCAGTAGGGCACTGTGCTGCTCTCTTAGTATGTCCTGAGAAACAAGCTTGCTTATGCCCAGTAGAAAAGCTCCATGAAGTTCACAGCATGACTAGAGGACTCCAGATCTGGCCTTAATAAACCTGTTCCTTCTTCTGTAGATATGAAATTCTCTAATTGTAAAGAGTCACGCTGCATGCTGTAGTATTCACTAAACAATATTGTCCATGATATTAATGTTAGCCTCTCATGTAGGAACAGTTTAGGGAACACTTCAGTCCAACAGACTGAAAAGAGTGAATGTGTAGAATTATTGATGTCGATGACTTTGCTCTCACACTCACAGTGTAAATGTGAGTTTTGGTACTGCTATTTAGATTTTAAGCTGCTTTATTGAAATAATAACCCAGTCCAATTTACATATCCATACCCTGCCTGCACATGCGTGCATTCATAGTGACCATTTCAGGGTTAGACAACTTGTACAGATCAACCTAATGAGTTTGGGGTGAAGTTTAGATTCTCTACACACTGTTAAGTTTCTAGTTTAAAAGGCTGCACTAGAGAGCTCGACTAAGTTGTTGGAAATGACAACAAATGCTAACATTAGCTCATTTAGCTTAGCCATGCTAACATTAGCTCCTGATCTGTCCTAACAGTGTCAATTTAAATTAAAAATATTGTGAATTTCTGTATTTTCAAAAAAATAAAAACAGTTTCTCATTAGTTTGAACAGATTTTCCCAACATTCTGTAAAG